AAGAGCTGAGGGACAGCGCCCAGGCCCAGAGTTCAGGCCCCACGACCAGACCGCCCCCCCAAAAAAAGAAAGAAAAAAGAAAAACAAATTGATAATCCTGGAATGAAATGGCATTTAGAAATACTAATTAAAACAAAATAACTTAGTGGGGAAATATTCTCAGCAAAAAATGCAAGCTGGGTGCTGGTGGCTCACGCCTGTGATCTAGCTACTCAGGAGGCTGAGATCTGAGGACTGTAGTTCAAAGCCAGCTGAGTTTAAAAAAAAGCAAATTAGGGCTGGGAAGTTGGCTCAGTGGTAGAGCGCTTGCCTTGCAAGCCTGAGGCCCTGGGTTCGATTCCTCAGCACCATATAAGAAAAAAGAAAAAAGCCGGAAGTGGCACTGTGGCTCAAGTGGTAGAGCGCTAGCCTGGAGCTGAAGAGCTGAGGGACAGCGCCCAGGCCCCACAACCGGACCCAAAAAAAAGAAAAAAGCAAATTATTTGTATATATCATTATTTATCAAATAATCAAGCCAAAAACCTTTATTTTCCCTTCACAATAAAAATTCTCATTAAATGTTACTTTAATCCACTGAAGATTTATTCCGCAAACCATCTACTACTGTCACTAAGCAGTAGATACACCAGATTTGAAGAGAATAGTATATCATTAATTCTAAACTTAGCACAATTATTAACATTAAAGAAAGATAAATAATTTCTTCTTCATGACAGCTCAATTTTAACTGATAAGAAAGCACAACCACTATTTTTATAAGCTATAGGCTATATTATTTATGACACTGGCCTATCTTGAGCTCTCGTAGATAATGTGAAGAACCAAAGCTTGGTTGGTATCAAGTATGCGTATTATCAGAGCAAAAGGTAGTAAGTCCTAGGTAAAATAAGTCCTAGGTAAAAATTTTCCAACTACTGTAAATCAGAAAGCACTTTATTCTTTTATGATAGACATTTTCAACCAAAAAAGGACAATCAACCGTCATATGTTCACTGCCATAATTATACTTGAAAAGCACTTTAAAAATTTCCATATACCCCAAATTAAAGAAGCTTTATAGAATGTTCACAGTAAAATGTTACTGATGCAATCCTACCAATAAAATAATCAACTCGATGACCCATCATATTGGTGGATTTTGTTGGACAGTTGAATCGAAGATACTTGGCTACAGCCTTCTCTTCTTTAGATGGTTCACCAACTTCCTGCAATGTAAGAGTATTTTTGTGAGATCATCTACTTGAAAAATTCATGCACTAAAGAACAGATACAGTCTTTAATCTTTTCAAGTCAAGTTAAGGCCCTGCTTTCCAACTTTCTCAGGAACAAACCTGGTAATACATAGAGAAGACAAAATGGATACTTTCAAAACTATATATTTCTCAAATAAAATTGGTAGGGCAAAAGAGCTTGTTGATTTTTGGCCTCAACTATGCCATTTGAGTTGTTTTTCCAGTGAAACTACTTTGTACAAGTTCATTTTCATTTTTGTATGGCTTTTATTTTGAACAGTTACAAAGTAGTCATTTAAAGGATACAACATTGCCATGTAAGTGCCAAAATGTCAAAGAAACAGTGCCATAAATAAGTGCTATAACAACTAAAAGAATGTCCTTGTTCAATGAGTAATGGACTATGAGAATTCTCTAACTACAAAGAAACAGTGCCATAAATAAATGCTATAACAACTGAAAGAATGTCCCTTGTTCAATGAATAATGGACTATGAGAATTCTCTTACTACAGATAGTTGTCTCAGTATGATAGCTGTAATATCTATTGAGCAGATAAGCACTGGTTTACCTTCCCTTCCTTTTCCTTTGTGCTTGCAGATATCAAACACTTTCTCACCAGACTACTTCTTTTCCCCAGTAAGGATGAGGCAAAAGACAGAACTGCAGAAATGGAGATTTTACTATATCATTTCAAGTACTGATTAATGGAAGTACACTGATAGTGTAGTTTTCGAAAGGCTGCTTGAATCCTTGTTTTCCTTTCGTGCCTGTTTCTAAGTTTTCTATTATATCCTCTGTTACTATCATTTGTGACAGTAAAAATTCAAGCCACTCAACCTAAAGACTACAGAAAAGTCTTGGATTTATTTATGGAAAGAACTTTATTTTCATTTCTAAAAATATGACCCAAAGAAAAAAATTACAAACTCAAAATCTAACACTTCAATGTCACTAACATCTACAAGATTCCTAATGACTCAGAGGCCTACCTACAAAATAATTTCCAACCATAATAAAAGGTGATAATTCCTTATCAAAAAATTTAAAACCATGCTAAAATATCTTTACATGTTGGTATTGTATGTCAAATGTAAGTTTTTAATTATATTTGTATAATGTATTGCACTTCGAAGAACTTCATCTATTAATTTGCTACAGATTCATGCAAATGAAAAGTAACACAAGAATTGAAAATAATACTACAAATAGTTTTCAAACACTTTTTTTTTTGTGCCAGTCCTGGGGCTTGAACTCAGGGCCTGGGCACTGTCCTTTAGCTTTTTCCCTCAACACTAGGGCTCTACTACTTGGGCCACAGCTCCATTTCTGTCTTTTTGGTGGTTTACTGGAGATAAGTATCACGAGCTTTCCTGTGTAGGCTGGCTTTAAACCATGATCCAAAGACTGCAGCCTCCAAGTAGTGAGGATTACAGGTGTGAGCCATTGGCACCAGCTGCAGAGACATATTTTATAAACATACACACACGTTTATTTTTTCCTCATTTGTTAATTCTGTTGCCAATTTTTAATGTCTATCTAATTAGCTGATAAGGTATTACTGGTATACTCCTAGCTACTGAGGAGGCTGAGATCTGAGATCACGGTTCAAAGCCAGCCCGGGCAAGGAAAGTCCATGAGACTCTTATCTCCAATAAACCACTTGAAAACTGGAAGTGGCGCTGTGGCTCAAGCGGTAGAGCGCTCGCCTTGAGCTGAAGAGCTGAGGGACAGCGTCCAAGCCCAGGGTTCAAGCCCCATGACTGACCAAAAAAAAAAAAAAAATTGTGTGTGGGGAAGGTCTATGTAAGTACAAACCATTTAATCATATAGATACTTCCTCAGTGTTTATCCTTTCTTGTTTGTATGCTATAGTACCAAATGTTTGTGAGGCTTGCTAAGTAACCTTGGTTACAAAACTATCAAGAGCAGCCAAAAAGTAGAACATTTTAGAAGAACACAGAGTAGGAATGAGGTTATCAATGTGAATGGGAATAGCTCAAAAAGAAGAGGGGCTGAATTCTGAAAGATGAGTTAAGTGTTTTTTAAAAAACATGTATTATTTGTGTGTTTATGTGGTACCAAGGAATAGAACCCAGGGCCTCATAAATGCTAGGCAAGCACTCTACCACTAAGCCACATTCCTTGCCAAGATAAGTAAGTTTTGAGTAAATTGAATAATGAGCCTAAACAACATAGCTGCAAATAGGGCACAAAATTTGGCTCTAATAAATACCAATTATAGCGCACTGGGAAATTAATAATTTATTTTTTGGGGGGGGGTCCCAGTTGTGGGGCTGGAACTCTGGGCCTGGGCGCTGTCCCTCAGCTCTTCAGCTCAAGGCTAGCGCTCTACCACTTGAGCCACAG